GTACGAACCCTTTGTACGAACAAAAGTAAGAGATATTTAGGATAAGAATATGAACATGTTCTTGCATGAGGCCCAATGTTTGTACGATTTCTTGGCTTCAAACATGTTTGTTGAAAAACAAAAAAAAGAGTTTTCCTCATTGTCTCAAGTCTGGTTTTTRATAGTTTTGTACGGGTTTAAGGAGGTCTTCAGTGTACTTATTATAATGTGAGAGAGAGACTGATGAGTCCACAGTGGTTTTGAGCAGGTACAACGTCTGTAGTGGGGTTGTGATGGTGTAACACGAGCTATGTTTCCGTCCAATTGCAAAGCGAWACGTTTAAAATGTCCTTGTCAAGTTTCGGTGCGTGGAATGAACCCAGATCCAGACGGAGAATGAAGCAATCATAAAAAATATTTATTAAACAAAAATAAAGAGCTGTCAGGGCAGCTAAACAAAACAAAACTCGAAGGAAGCACGGGGAACACAAAGACGACGAGACAGTAGGAATAAATCCAAATAATGATCCAGCGGGGAAATGAAGGACATGACCAGTATTTAAACTAACAGGAGAGAGGAAATGACAAMCACCTGGGAGGAAGACTGATTGGTAATTACAGACAGGTGAGGATGATAAACTGAGAAATGGCTAGGAAACAAGCWGAGGAGAACTGAAGGGTGGTGACATAGAGAAAACACAGAACAATAGAAACACATCCTCACAGTCCTCTTTTACCCACAATTTCCTCTCAAGCTGTCAAACTCATTTTCTCTTTTCTCTCCACGTCGTCCTTTTTTTTTTTGAAGTAGTTCTGAGGCGCGGTAGTGAAACATGAAACTACTGCTATGTTACTCAACAGGTTGTTGCAGCTTACCAAACATTGACTGAGTTGATGCCATCAACTTAGCTTACCTGAGTGGTGAGAGGTCAAGCAGCCTTTCCTCACCCCCCAGAATGCTGTGCTGTTCTGGATCTGAGTTCAGGGAAATCATCATTCCGTCAGACAAAGTTTCTATTGATGTTCATCATGTGTCTATCACGATATACGTCATTATTGTTATATTGCCCGGTCCTAACGGACAGCATTTTCATGACACGGGGCTCCCGATTTGATTATCAATAATTGGAAGAAMGGACCATGGTTGCCTCATGCCAAGGCTAYGACTGYGATTGTGTCAAAGTATTGAAAACAACCAAACCTAGATGTGAGACCATGGTGGTAGAGTCATAAGCCCCTTCTCCACCRTTGTACTTTTCATCGATTCAGCCTCAGCCAAATGTGTCTCCATTTCCAGTCCCAACCACATTTTTGGATCCACCTCAGTGGTGACCTTTTTATCAGTYTTAGGAGATGAGGCAATACAGCTTGAGCTCAATGGAGCAGTCTGAAATGAGCAGGTATRCTGGGAGGTTTTGAACAAACTGGCTGCCCACGGTTACACACACACTTACAAACCGTGCTGTGACTACCGGACGATAAACACACAATGGTCGGTCCGCCAACAAAGTGAAGGACACGCTGCGCTGGAGGCTGATTAAAGTGAGACTTGATGCAGAAGAGGCTGCACTAGCCTGGTGTGCTCTTCTAGTGCACGGCTTCATTTTTACAAGGAACCGGAGTCATGCCTAGAATGAGGCGAGGCGCAGGATAGCACCTCAGGAATGTTAATGACTGTGCAAAAATATTTTTAGTTTGTACTAAGAGTGTAACAGTTTCATGATTGGCTTCCAAATTAACCCTGATYCGGTTGTGTTCTAATGGGTGGTGTAGATTGTGTTGTATGTAGTAGGGTCAAAACCATTGAGAAGAGAGTTTTGTGTTTTGTTTTACTTAACATTGTCTACAATCTGTTTCAAACTTGGAAACTACATAACTGAACATCTCAGGAAGTCCAAAAAGGAGTTTTACGTCATTTAGCAGTTTCGGCAAAATGTTGTTTTCTGTCAATTTTTTTTCGACAAAGATTCAGACAACCAAAAATAAGCAGGATACAGATTTCTTTTCCCCCTAAATATAAGATGAAAACTCTTAGACATATTCTGCTTACACTGAGTCACGTCAGGTCTGTAGGYCATGGTTTGATGTGACCCAGGACAGACTTTCATTCGGATGACCAAACGAACAAAGATGGAGCTGTACCGGGCCAGACCTCACCATAGTCTAAACGGGTCCACAATCCATCCTGTAAAAGTTCCACGCTCGTAATTAGAATTATTTGTGTTATCAGATCAGTCAGGACAAGTTTGCCTTGAAGGTATGGACTGTTCATGGGGGGGGGGGGGGGGGGGGGTGACTTTTGCATGTTGAGTCATGAACTTCATCGGAATTCCCATTTCATCTTTAGTTTGGCAGAAAATCGTCGATACCTCTGTAATGAGGTGTTCGCTGAAGGGCTAATTTATATTTGATGTTTTTACACGAAGCAGACTGTGTGCGTTGCATTTGAAGCCATATGATTTCCTTAACGTGGTTACCTAATTATTACCTGCCTTGTATAAAATGAGCACAAAGTTTGTGTGTTTGGTTGTCTGTTAGCAAAATGTCCCATAAACTAGTGGACAGATTTGAATGAAACTCTTAAAGTAATGACTCAATGTACATCTACAACCTAATGTATTAATCATTATTAATGMAAAACAATACAATGCTTTAATTAAGTCTTTATTTTTTAATCATTTTTATGCTAGTTTGAAGGAACGGTGTACTTTGATTCAAGGAATAAAACTATGGAATAATGTGGGGAGTGATGTACAGTAAAAATGCAGGATCATTGCGTACATTTTAAAAAAATGATAAAAGTTGGATTGTTAAAGAAGTACAAAACAGTATAATGTGTATCTATATAAATTGTTGTTCTAGAGGGATTAGATATTAT